CTGGGGCGGGTTGGAAATGCCAGCCAGGCGCCCTGTCCCGGGGAGGCCGAGCCCCGCTTGGCAGCCGGTCACTGGGCTTCGCCCAAACCAGCAGCGGCGCAGGGCCGGGTTAATTACACCTGGGCCCTCTAGTCTTTGGGCTTCGCCCAGACCAGCGTCGCGGCGGACGACGGGGCCGGACTTCGACGGGGCCCCCTTGTCACTGAGCTTCGCCCAAACCCTCGCCCAAACCAGCGTCGCCGCGGACAGCGGCGCTGGTTTCCGACTGGGCCCTCTGGTCACTGGGCATCGCCCAAACCAGCAACAGCGCAGGGCTGGGTGACACCTGGGCCTTCTGGTCTTGGGCGTCGCCCAAACCAGCGTCATGGCGGGCGACAGGGCCGGTCTCCGACTGGGCCCTCTGGTCACTGGGCTTCGCAAAAACCAGCAGCCGCGCAGGGCTGGGTGACACCCGCGCCCTCCTGGTCTTCGGGCCTCGCCCAAACCAGCGTCGTCGCGGGCAACAAGTGCAGCCCGGGGCCGGGCCCCAGGGTCGCTGGGCTTTCGAGCCCAAACCTAGAACCGCGAAGGGCCAGTTACACGCTGCGCCTGTGGTCACTGGGGCGCGCCAGGGCCGGCATCGTCGTAGACGACCCGGCCGGTCTTCGACCGTGGCCTTGCGCGCTGGGTCGCCCCAAGTCAGTGCCAATGTGTCAGTGCATGGGGGCATTCGAAACATGCGTGCCCTGCTGCCCAGGTGGATTCGCCTACGGCTTCGGAGCGAAGGGGGCCCCGTTCATGGCCCCCCCCCAGCGCGGGGTTTTCCCCAGCGCGGAAGTCAAAACCCAAGCCGCGCTGCGGAGGTGCAAGCTTGCGAGGCAGGGGGGCGCCCATGTTCGGACGCCTCGCAGTGGGCTTCGGCGCGGCGCTGGGGGGGGCCCAGAAGAGCGGCTAACCCGAAAGCGACCGGGAAGGCGGCCAGCAAGGCAACCGCAAGGGGGGATCCAGAAATTGGATCCCCCCTCGTTCGCGCCGCGCGCACGTCGCCCACATGCGCGCTGAGGCACATGAGTGTTTGGCGGGTCGCTGCGGCGACGTCCAAGAATGGGGCATCCTATTTATGGGATGCCCTCGTGGGAGCGGACCCCGAAGGACACGTCCCGATGACCAACGGCAGAAACCTCGCTTCTTCCCTCTTTGCCTCCCCCTCCTCCTTTTAAAGACTCTGCCATCCTTGATTATCCCCTGTCTTCGGGGGATGTGGAGGGTGCTCGCACGCAGCGCGAATTGAGCTCATGACTGGCGGGCACACTGACAGAGTGGCGGCGCGAGGCGGTCGGGGCAGGCTGGCGACCGACACAGGCCGCCCGCGTTCTGCCTGGGGGATGAAGCGCAAAAGTGGCGCCCGCGAAGATAACGGCGCCCAGGAGTGGGGGGGGCGAGGGCCACCCCCCGTCCCTCGCCCCAACTCACATGTCGTTTTCCCTTTCCTCACAAGCTAAAAATATTCACATGTCATCGGAAGCCTCCGAAGGCTTCCAGGAATGCGCAAAGCTGCTCGGGTGCTTGTGACCCCCGACGGCGTTCTCAAAGAACCTTCCAGCGCAGCCCTGCCACCCCGCACGCCCTGGGGATGCAAGGTAAAATTGTCGCGCCGCCTGTCGAGAAGACATCGATGGACCGTTGCGTCGCGCGTGCCAGGGCCGTTGGCGACGACGTTGCAGCGGCGCTGCCGCGCGCTGGGGGAAGTACCTTCACCGCGGCCGCTTCCAGTGCACCAGGCGCATCCTTTGGGCAGTCGCGCGCCTGATCTTGCAGTTGCCACCTGGGCCCGCAATGTCATTCTCTGGCACCGAGATTTCGGACATCGCCCAGGCGGCTCCGCAGGGCTCGTTCGGCGGGGCGCCCCCGGAGCTGAAGGCCCAGGTGGATCAGCTTCGCATGCTCGGTGGATGAGACCCACAGGGACAACTACCCACTCATGCTTTACGCCGCCATGGCTAGTGTCATGGCGGAGAGCGCGGGGCCCACGCAGCCGCGAGATTTCGCGGATCCGCGCGCGCGGACCTTGATCCTCGATCTGATCGAGCCGAATGCCATGCCGCTCGAGTCGGACAAAGCCGGGGAGTGGCAACGCATCAAAATCTCGCCTGCGCAAGTTACGGCGGACTTGCGAGTCCAGGTCAGAGCCCAAAACGCTCCGACTGGGAACGGCGCAGCAGCCAGCGGATCGGCCGACGAATTCGCCACGGCGCCGGCCTCGCACACGTCCGCCCATGAGGCGGCAGCGGACAAGGAACCGAAGAAAACCGCGCTCGGCTTCGCGGTGAAAGACCGAACCCAAGAGGCGGGCCTTGGGCGCGTGCCCGACGACATGGCCCCGTCGGAAGAATCGCTCCTCCGCCGGGAAGTCGCGTCGCGGGCGGCCCGCGACCAGAGCGGAGTGCACGTGGGGTCCAGGGGCGGGGGGGGCCTGATGGCGAACTTCAAGCCTGTTCGGCTGCGGACTCCAAAGCTGGACGGCGACGGGCCCATGGATGACAAGCTGAAAGCAGCTGTGGGCGCTGGGAAGGCCCGCGCAGCAGAAAAGAAAACCTACTTCAAGGGGTGCGCCGCGTTCATGGGCCACTTCCAGGACTGGGGTTGGAAGATGGCGCCCATGGCGGCGTCGCAGCTCCTCGCGCGCACGTTCGAGCTCGTCAGGATCGCGGAGGAGTTCGGCGGGGTCGCAACCGCACGCCACCACGAACTCTTGCTGCGCCGCAAGTTGGCGAGGGCGTTGGAGCAAGGCAAAATCAACCAGGCCCAGATCCCCCTGTGCGATATCGACAGAGATGTCATGTCGCACGCCAAGATAAAAGCAGGCCAGCGCGCCGAGGAGGCGGCCACGGCGGCCGCCAAGGGCTCGGCGAAGGGCGGCCAGGGCGCCGGCAAGGGAGGATGGAAACCAGAGGTTGGGCCGCGCGAAATGGGGGGCGCGAGCTGGGGCGGCGTCGGCCAGCGGTTCCTGGCTGTGCCTGTCGTCTGCACTACAGCGCCCGCTGTCGATTTCGGACAGCAGGTGGCGGCGGGCGTCGCCCCCGTCGGTATCGTTTCTGTTTCGCGCGCGATTCGCAGGACTGGCCGACTTCGTCGCGGGCCAGCCAGTCGAGGGGCCCCCGCGCCAGCGGAAAAGGCCACAGCGAGGACGAAGGCGACGAGGACAGACGCGAGGACGGTTGGGGCAGCCATCCGGCGGCGCCGTGGAAGTGCAAGCGATGAGAGACCGAATCCGACGGACGGCGAGGCAGCGGCCGACCAGCCGCAGGGAAGCGTCGAGGAGGATCCTCGGCGCAGCTTAGGCGCTGCGTTGAATAGCTCTTGGCTTGTCCAGAGCGCTTGAAGAAGACGACGGCCTGCGGCCTGGATGCACTTTGACTGGGCGCCGTCTTTGCCCAGGTGCGACGGCAGCATGCATCTGCTGGACGCACTTGGCTCAGTTTTGAAAGCTACCGCTTGCGATCCCGATGTTCGTGTGTGTGTGTGTGTGTATAAATATACATATATATGTATATGTACATATATATATAGATATAACGCACTGGCGCGGTGGAGTTCTGGCTGCGCAGGAAACGAGCGACGGCCACTCAATGGGCGGAATTGTTACAAGATTTGATGGAGCATGTCCAGTCCGTTCTCGGACCCGAAAAAAACCTCCCGCTGTTTCCAAAGATGTTGCGCGCCAGCGGTAGCCCCGACTGCAATCTCCCCCGTTGCCTGGCCAGGGGGGTTCCGCTGCTTGGCGAGACCCCCGCGCCTCGTACTCTGGAGCTGCGCGAACGGGGATTCTGCGCTTCGCGAGAGGCGCTGCTACTGCAGGCGCCCAAGGGCAACCGCGCAGTTTTGGTCCGATTGAATCGCGCGTCGAGCCGCGACCCTGCAGTTGAAACAGGGTTGCAGCAGAAATGATAGGTGAAGTCGCGCAGGGGGAAAGCTCGCTGGGCGCAAGTGGACGAGTTGCCCCCTGACGTCGCGCCCTCAGGGCTGGAAGTGGAAATGGGAATCGCTTGCCAGGGAGATCCGGGCCATCGGCGACATCCAGTTTTTTGGCGTTGACGGCGCAATCTCGGTTGGTGAAAAAATCCAGCGCGATGACTTGGATGCACTACTGGTGATCTGTCAAACCTTGGCCCGCGCAGAGTCCCAGCGGCCTTTTCGCATCGCCTTGCGGAAAGACGACGTCGTTGGAGCCTGCAGGTTGGTTGTGCGCTGGCTTGCGGTCCGCCTGGTTGGGGCGGGGTACAAATACCAGCCAAGTACCCTGTCCAGGGTGGAGGCCGAGCTCCGCTTAGCAGTCGACGGGGTCGGTCCCCCGCCCGCCCGCCCTGGGGTGGGCATGTTGGGGGTGTGAGCTGGCTGGGCGGTGTCTTCAAGAGCTCTCGTCCCGACAGGGCCCGCCCAGCAGCGCCGTACACGCATGTGCCATCAGAGGGCGCGCAGCCACGCCCCAGAGCCACGCTGGGCCAATCCTCCTCCTCCTCCTCCTGTAACTCCTCCTCCTCCTCCTCCTCCTCCTCCACCACCACCTCCACCTCCTCCCCTCCCCCATCCTTCTCCCTCCCACAATCGGCAACTGACCAGTCATAGGCAGCGTAGCGACCAGAATTGCGGGGCGGATCCAGCCGTGGCGGATGGGTGCGTCCAGGAGGCCCAACGAAGGCCAACAATCCAAACACCTCGATATGCTTCGTCCTCGATCCTCGGATCTTCCCTCTTCCTCTTGCTCCTCGTCCTCCTCGTCCTCCTCGTCCTCTTCCTCGTCCTCGTCCTCGTCGTCCTCTCGTCCCCCTCCTCCTCCTCCTCCTCCTCCTCCTCCGCTCCTCCTCCTCCTCCTCGTCCTCCTCCTCCTCCTCCTCCTCCTCCTCCTCCTCCTCCTCCCTCCCTCCTCCTCAAGAGTCCAGGCGGAGGAGGGCTTCATCATGATCCTGATGTTTCTACTCTCCCTCCTCGATCCTCCTAGACATGTTCCCCTGCAGCGCAGCCTTGGTGAGCTTGTCGGTCGCCTGCGACAGGGTCTCCAGCAGCTTGGCGTTCCTGTCCTCCATCTCGTCGCCGACGGGTGCGTACCTGTAGGCCCCTCGCTGCGCCATCAGCACGTCCTGCGCCTCTTCCTCCTCCTCCTCCTTTTTTTTCTTACGTGTACTTCCCTTAGTATTCGTAATATGATCAATCTTATTAGTATTCGTATCGGTATCATCAATATCATTATTGTCACTGCCATTATTGGGTTATCTGAAAGTTGTAGTAGTCTCGTTCGTAATTCTATCGTCATTAGTCATTGCTGTTATGTTTAGGATTCTTCGTATCACTATTATTTGCCACCCTCTCACTGTTACTGTTCGTCGCTTGTTCGTATACGTTGTATTGTTCGCATGGGTAGTGGAATTCGTACTATTCGGACTATTCGTTTCTGATTAGTATCACGAATATCCTTAGCATTACTAGTATAATGATTCGCATTCGTAGTCTTACTGATCGTGGTCTTAACCTGCTTCGTGTTCGCATGAGTCTTACTAGTATTGATGTCATTAGACGTCTTACTAGTATTCGTCTTATTATTATTCCTCCTCCTCCTCTTCCTCCTCCTCCTCTTCGTCCTCTTCCTCTTCCGCCTCCTCCTCCTCCGTTTCCTCATCCTCCTCCCCCTCCTCTTCCTCCTCCTCCTCCCGCCGTCCTCCTCCCCCCGACTTCCTCCTGCCGTCCTCCTCCTCCCTTTCCTCCTCCTCCTCCTCCCTTTTCTCCTCCTCCTCCCTTTCCTCCTCCTCCTCCTCCTCATCCTCCCCTTCCTCCTCCTCCTCCTCTTCTTCTTCCTCTCATGTGTCTTATTATTCTTATGTTGGGTATCTCTGTTTACTGATAGTACTATTATTCGTATTCTTACCAGTATTGTTATTATTGTTATTAATACATGAGTGATATTTGCATGCTTAATACTATTGTTATTAATAGTGTTAGTCGTATTACAATTATTATTATTCGTGTTATTACCTGTCTGATTAATCAGATTCCTCCTCTTCTTCTGCTGATTACTATTACTATTATTCTTCTTAGTACCTTTAATATCAATATTAATATGAATATTATTATTTGTTTTTCTGTTGTTCTTCGTTTTCCTCCTCCTCCTCCTCCTTTCCTCCTCCTCCTCCTCCTCCTCCTCCTCCTCCTCCTCCTCCTCCTCCTCATCATCATCATCATCATCATCATCATCATCATCATCATCATCATCATCTCTCTCTCTCCTCCCCAACCTCCTCCTCCTCCTCCTCCTCCTCCTCCTATTCCTCCTCCTCATCCTCCTCATCATCTTTGTCCTCCTCGTCATCCTCGTCGTCGTCGTCCTCCCGCATCCTTTCTCCTCGTAGATAACTCTTTCCTGCTGTACCCAGAGGCAAGTGGAAAGGGCAGGCTGGGCGTTTCGCCGGAGCTTTCCTCATCGGTTATGATCCTGAATCTCAGAACTCGCAAAAGTTTCACATATGGAACGCAGCCCGTTTTGGAATGTGGCTCTCGCCTTAGCGCCGCGCACATTCGTGTTAGAAAGCTTGCAGAGAACTTCACAGATGGAAGGTGGTCCGTTTTCAAACTGTGGTTCTCGCCATAGCGCCGCGCACATTCGGTTTAAAAGTTTGTATGGGCTTCGCGACTGGAGGGCGGCTCCTTTTTGAAAATGTGATCTCAACTTAGCGCCGCGCACATTCGTTTTAAAAGCTTGCATGCAAGAACTTCGCGGATGGAGGGCGGCTACTTTTCGATATGTGGCTCTCGCTTCAGCGCAGCGCGCATTTGTCTTAAGAGTTTGCAGCAGTTTCAAGGATTCTCCTAGCTAGCGTCCCAGAAATAGTTCTCTGGCACGATGTCGAAAAATCAGGACGCAACGGTCACGACGATCCACGGTGTTGAAATCCCAAGAATTGTGTTCTGGCACGGTTCAGGACCGTCAAGACGCAACAACAACGGTGATTGGCGGCGTTGATGTCCCAAGCGTGGCGTTCTGGCACAGTTCCAGATTTTCGAGCGGTTGTCTTCCAACGGGGCACTTCTCTCAGTGAGAAAGAATCCGTGTAGGAGCCTATCTGACACCCCGCAATCGCGGATAAAAGGGAGGGGGCTGGAGTGGGGTAGGTCGCGGGTGGGTTGCGGGCGATTCGCGGGTGGGTCGCGGGGTGGGTCGCGAGTTGGTTGCGGGTAGGTTGCGGGTGGGCGGCGGGTGGGTCGCGGGTGGGTTGCACGTGGGTCGCGGTGGGTCGCGGGTGGGTCGCGGATGGGTCGCGGGTGGGTCGCGGGTGGGTCGCGGGTCGGGTCGCGAGCGGGTCGCGGGGTGGGTCGCTGGTGGGCCGCTGGTGGGTCGTGAGTGGGTCGCGGGGTGGGTCGCGGGTGGGTCGCGGGTTGGTCGCCGGTGGGTCGCGGGTGGATCGCTGGTGGGTCGCCAGTGGGTCGCGGGCCGGGTCGCAAGCGGGACGACGACGACAACAACAACAACAAGGTACGACCACTACCTGGAGGCCCCATTCTACCTTGGAGGTCCTACCCTCTGGTACGACCCCTAGCTGGAGGCCCCATGGGGGGG